TATATATATATATATTATATTTATATATATATCGTTCGGTCCGGTAATGGGCGGTCCGTGTACTAGTCAGCTGACGGACCGGTAGGTACCGCCCGTACCAGACGGTATTATTCGAAATTGCATACCTTGGTTAGAAGATTCTCAATAATGTATGGTTTAGTTCTGTTTGCAATGCCAAAGTTCATTAAACTTACAGGTAAAAGAAACTTGAAGATCCTTCGGTCTTTAAAAGTTTGGTCTGATAGGTACAGAGCATAAATCTTCAACATAAATGGTTTGCTTATATTTTGATTTTTGCAATTCTAATTTTCAGACTGAATCTCCAGCTTTCAAGAAATCTTATCCTCTTTTCAAGGATTGAGATGAAAGCAACTTCCATCATGTCAAAATGAAAATTTACCTCTTAACTCATTATGTATTTTATGTACTTATTATGGACCATGAGAACCTTCTAGTCAATTTATTCTTATTCATTCCAGACATCATCAAGGATTCTAATTAATCAAAATCCATTTTTTTCCCACTCTGTTCACTAAATATGACATTTTTTCTTTGTTATTTGCAGGTCACGCTTCTCTTGGTTTTAGTTTGTGATATGTTCATATATGCTCTCTCTGTGTCACACATGTTTGTTCCTTTACTACCTTTAAGAGTCGCACCATATATCCGTGTTGTCTTTGTTATTTTGACAATCAGGTTAGCATATCATTGTTTTCTATTATTCACTGAATTGCTCTCTCTATAGTTACTAATTTCATGACTAACCAATTGCTGAATGGGAACCTCTGCAATGCCAATTTCTTTAAAGATCTAGAACAAGAGAGGCTTGTACGGAAACTTATTGGCTATCATATAGGGGATAAACAGATAACAAGAAAATGTCATAAATTTGATCAAATTCTATCACCTTATCATGTTGTATCTCAGTTTTCTCATCCTGATTTTCCTGAATTTTTATTATAAATGCACATAGCATAATTTTACTATGAACTACTAATTTCATGGTTGATGGAAATTTAGTTTTTGCTATAAAGTTATATGGTCCATGTCCAATCTTTTATGATCATTGAACATAATTTGAATTTTGAAGTATGACAAAGATCAGAAGTGCCTAGTTCATGTAGTGGATTCTTATTTGTGGGAAGTCATTGTTGAATAATAAACAATGTTATCATACTTCAGGGATTTGTGTGGATGTATGCTCACACTGGCTGGAATGGCTGGCACATACCTTAATATCTTGGTAAGATTCAGTTTTAGATGTCTTCCACCAGTATGCATGTGCTTGTGCTTTTTGTTACTGTTGCTTATAGTGAACTATCCCATTTATTTTCTCTCATCATAGCTATTGTGTAATTGAAGTGATATTACACTTTTTTCTTTGGCTTTTAACACATGTTAATATCAAACTAGAACTTTTTGTTTTGTGTCTGAACTTAATTTTCCATTTTCTCTTATGTGCAGGCTCTTTCGGCTTTTTTCCTCTTATTTGCCAGCTGGTTAGCTTATGTCACATTTGAGGACACTGAACAGGGAAGGACCATGTTTAGTTCTTATGGAACCACATTATATCAGATGTTTGTACTTTTCACCACATCTAACAATCCAGATGTGTGGGTTCCTGCCTACAAGTAAGCAGGCTAGCAAATTCAGTGCTTTTGCAATATAAATGATTTAAACCCTATCAGGATTTAATTGCATATTGAAAAATAATTGTCATTGACATATGAAAATTAGGAAGGGTTGGATATACTAGTTAAGTGGTCTATTATATATAATTTAAGTATAAGCATTTTGAGTTATGTTGGCAAACCATTCGAAGGATTCAAGCTCCGTCACCATGAAGAGTTCAAACTGACTGCCAGCACAGTTCAATCCATGTCATGCCAGCTGAGACGGCCAGCATGCCATTGGAACAGTAAAACAAAATTAAGTTGAAGAAAAAAAGAGAATACAATAACTTTTTCACAGCCTAAATAAATAAATAAATAAATAAATAAACAGCTACTTGTCTGGATCTCTGCTGGCTTCCATTACCTCCACCCCTCTTTGGTAGCAAGAGGTGAAGCTCAAAGTAGGCCTCCTTGCCTAACAAAGAACTTAACTCTTCGGTGCCTCTGATCTTCTTCTCCAATAGCTTGGAGGCATCGTTTTCTATTCTTTGGCCTCCCGTTTAGTATTTGAGTTTTGATGAAAACGAGTTAGCTGTGACATGGAAGAAACATCAAGGGATAGATTTAACAGACACCCTAATTGCTGGATTTAATATCAAGTTGTAATCCAGCTCAGCTATTTGAAGTTTAATCCACATTCATTATTCAGTTAAGAACCACATTATTCAGCTCAGCTATTTGAAGTTTAATCCAGTGAAGCCTGATTCAGTTCAAACTCCCATGTTCCATGTCTCATACATCCTTTAGAATAAGATGCTTTTAGGGGAATCTTGCTTAAAACTAAAATCCTTGGGGTACCCTGTAAAATTGTTACGTTAGAAGGATCATGTTGAAGTTTGAGGTGATCATCAATTATCAAAGAATCTACAAATGCCTCTTGATATATGCTGACTGTCATGCATCAAGATGGGGGTTCCATCATGCACACCAAGGTAGTCACTTTATCAAGTTTAGTGGCACATCAGAACCTTACAGTAGGTATCAAGGTTATATGTTATATGTTAACCTTACAATAGGGACTTGAGTAGGAAAAACCATAACACCAATACAGTTCCATGCCGAAAATAAGATGTGTGACTTGCTACTTGCAATTTTATCTTTAAGCATCTTTTGGGTAGGTTAACAAGTCAGTCTACAGAAGTCATTCAGCTAGTAGACTGCTAGTGGTTTGATTACAAACAGGATTCCATTGAGTCATGTTTAACGACATAGCGACATAACTTTTTGTTTTCAATACAACAACAACAAAGCATAAAGTCCCAAACTCCGAACTATTTGGGGAAGTTTTTGTTTTTAATGATGCCATTAAAAAAATTATGGGCCTCCTTTCTGCAAAAATCTGGCAGTCTTTTGTAGAGAGCTTTTATTCCAGGTTTTATTTGCTGCTATTTTCAAGTAGTCTGCGAAGGATCAAAGTTTAATGGTTCAGGTTGACATCTGAGGCAGCTAGGGCAACTAAAGAAACCCTTTTGAAACAAAAACTGTACTATGAATAAATTACTATGTTATGTGATTGTCACCATGCTCATTTTTTGGAATTAGAATTTAATATTATGCTTGTCACTGTACAGGAATTCGCGATGGTCATGCCTTTTTTTCGTCCTCTATGTGCTGTTGGGTGTTTATTTCCTTACAAATCTTATTCTTGCTGTTGTTTATGATAGCTTCAAAAAACAGGTATTTCCAAGATTTTTTGTTGAACTTTTGAAACGTATATGTGTTAGATCTATATGCTATATAAAGATTTTGCTAATATTTTGATCAACAATTCTCGGTTGTGGTATGACTTCTTTTTATAGCTTGCAAAGCAAGTTCTTCAGATGGATACAATGAGAAAATCCATTTTGGAAAAAGCATTCAGTCTTATAAATGTTAATGTAAGTCTTCTTCCCTGTATTTTGTTTTTTAGTTCCTTTTCATAAAGAAAATTAGAACTGCAACCTTCCTCTATATTAAAACTTTTTTCAACTTGATGTACAAGATGGATCTGGTTATCCACTTGGTCAAGGATGGAGATACCCTTAGATATATACAATGCTATAATTATTTAATATATGAAACAGAAGAAATAGTGACAATATTCTAAAGGCCGACACCATCACCATTATATGCAAATATCATTACATCTTGATGGCTGTGACCGTCCCCCCTTAGTGAGTCATTTAATTCCATTTGATGGAAGTAATGAATCAACTATAATCTGTCCAAGTGCATAACAAGAAAACAATCATATTTATGCATAGAGTAGCCATGAATACTTGTGGGTTAAAGATGAACATGTTCAACAACCATGCAGAATATGATTCTGGTAAATGGGCCATGCAACTATGATGGATGACAGCTAGATTGTTTTGAATTTTCATAAAATGATTAACTTTTTTTTCCTATTTGTACAATTAAAAGAATGTGAAATGTCTTGGTGGAAACCTTTATAATGAAGAAAACTTGACAGGTGTAATTTTCAAGTAATTATTATCTCCATAAAGCATGTATGATATGCATGTGCTATGATTAAAGTACTTGATTATAATTGCTTACTTTATTACATGGATGTTACATTCATTCTTTCTAATGTTTTACCATGTGTAACAGTAAGAAAGTGGTGGTCCTTTCTATTGGCTACTTCAGTTTTCACATGTTTAATCTTTGTTATTTGAACACCAAATCCAGGGTTTTGTGAACAAGCCACAGTGCAGTCGTCTGTTTGAAGAATTAAACAAATATCGGTAAGAAGTACTCCTGTACTTGTGGTCAGTCTCACTCATTTTCATCTAAATGTCATTGGGTAACAAATATCATGTGAGAACTTTAGACTATTTTGCTAATGTAAGTGTTGATATATATACAATTTTCCTTTTTTCCTGTAATACTAGAATGCTAGAATCAATGTTCGCCGTACCGTACCATACCGACGTTTTGACCTGGGCTCGGTATGGTACGGTACCGGTGTACCGGGCAGTACATCAGGGCGTACCGAGCGGTACACTCTGGTGTACCGAACAATTTTATACTTTTTCATACTATAGCAGTGCTACAGTATAGTAGCACTGTAGCGGTACCGGGCGGTCCGCATACCGGTAACTTGTCGGACCGGTACGTACCGCCCGGTACGGGCAGTACGCTTCGGTATGACAGACCTTGGCTAGAATACTGAATATAGTTCATGTATTATTTTTAAAAAAAAGGTACTTGGTGCACAAGGCTCTAGCCAATACGAGGTTTGGGGAGGGTCGATATATGTAGCCTTACCAATAGAAAGATGCTGATTTTGTGACTCGAATGAGAGAGGCTGTGTGCTTAACTTAAATCTTTTATTGGTCATAAAGGAGCAACCTTATTATTGTCTTTTTATTGGTCACAACAGAGCAACCTTACCGTTGTAACAAAGGCTTGCCCTCAAATACCAAGAATTGTAATTTTGGTCTGTACCGGTGTACTGAGCCCTACTTGGTACGATACATACCGAGGTGTACCTACGGTACGCCCAAAATCATCAAAAAACCTCCAAAAATATAAAAAAAATAGAAAAAAAAGTTAGATTAGGGTTTTTAAGTTAGAAATAAATATAAATTTAGTATAATTTCAGTAAAAATAATGTAAATTAGGAATGAATAGTGCTATATATCTTTTCTAGACTTTGAGGAGTAGTTTTATGGTACGTTCTGGATCGTCCTTCTATTAATATTGAATTATCTACAAAAAAATTATTTAAATTATTAGATTACTTTTTATACAACTTAAACTTTACGATTAAAATGAATTAAATAATAAATCAATGGATATACTTGGTTCTATCATAAAAAAAAAAGACAAGGCTCCACGGGCGGTGGATCGAGATCCTCAACCCTATATATCTGTATATTAATATGATATGTTTGTCAGACCCAATTCTGAAATTGATCCCACGACATAGTATACTAAGACACCGTTTGCTATTGGTATATCAATATGGTGATGGTCGTAGTCTGATCATCATGAACAACATGTGTCCGAGGCGGCTCCTAAGGAACGAACGAATGTGGCATGTATTAATGCGGACTATAGAAAATGTCAGAACTTCTACTTTCGCTATTGATCTACTACTCTGTATCATATGATCAATCATCGTACTATTGCTCGAAGAAGCATGGCCAATTATCATCGTGCTGTTGTTAGCTGTAAGATTCTCCATAATACGACGACTATGAATATGATGATCTAATCCATAAATTAGAGTGTTCTTCCTCTAGAAAGAGAGTACATACCACTTGATTAGAGTATTCTTCCTCTTAATCCTCCAAAATTAGTCTTCTAAATTTGATCTAATCTATAAATTGTAGTCTTGTTGAGTTTAGGAGAGTGAAAATGTGAAAATAAGTGAGAGATATGAGTGAAAAAAAGTTTGAGAGAGTTTAAGAGATTGAGAGAGTGAAATGAGTTAAAGAGGGGGGAGGAAAGGGTTTAAAAACCCTTTTCTAAGCCTCAAACGGTCAAATTGACTATTTGAAATAGGGCAATCTCACCCCTTAATCGATAACGATCGAAATATGATAGTTAGCGACTTGTACTGGTTGGTAACGATCGGATTTCGACTGTTACCACCCGGTATAGACCCTATATTGCCCGGTACAGGGTCAAGTGATCGGTACTACTCGTATCAGGTGGTACGCATCGGTGCAGCAAACCCTGTCAAATAGATTAAATTTTAATATTTGACAAAAATTTGATGGACTTTGTTTTACAAGTGATGGATTAATTGCATGAATGCAACATTTTAAATCAGAGTAAATGATGGGGATTGTTGTTCTAAAATAGTAGATTGGCCTATTACCAATAGCTTGGCTCACGTATTTTAAACACGTGGGTAAGACCATTTCTTAATAGTTATTTAGCTTATAAATCTATCATTTCATGACAATTGGTATTAAGGCCAACCTAATGGTTTAACACAGCATATTTTTTTATTACTTTGGAATCGGTGCTCATGGATTGTTCAAGGGGCACATCAAGCTGCTAATGTGGTGCTATACATCTCACATTTCTTCTACTAAGGATAATTCTGTGTTATTTGTACTGTTTTAAATCTTGATGAGGTTGTCAATGCTATATGATGTGTTATTCATACTGTGTTGAATGAGGTTGTCAATCTTTTAAGTGGGAAGTAATGACACCTAATAATTCCACATTAGGATCGGATGATGAGTATGATTAGTATATAGGACTAGATGAAGATTGGTTTGGAAAATTCACCGTTCTTCTAAACAATAATACACTTCTGTTGTGTGGCATTATATTCAATTATTGTTGTCATGCTATATGATTCTTTATATCTTTCTTAGGTCTTTGCCAAAAATTTCAGAAGAAGATTTTGAACTGATATTCAGTGAGCTTGATGATAGTGGTGACTTCAAGGTAAAAAATTTCCTCTATCTAGCATCTATTGATGCATGCGTACACATATATTTTATTAATTAAGAGATCTCTTTACCTAAAGCAAATGCAGAAACGTATGATTTTTGATGAATTCCAGAAAAATGACATTTCTTAGTTGCATCAGGATACCTGATCTATTTACTGTTAAGAAACTGGTGAACATGTACACAGTTTAATTTAGCAGGCACCAGAGCAATTAAACATTATGGTTTGCTGGTGAAGTGCTGATATCATAAAGTGAGGGTTGTAGAGATTTAGGCATGTTTTGAG